ACAGAAGCACAACACATATACAGTATTTCAGGAAGGCTTTGCAAGAAAGAGTGAGAAAGCAAGTGGCGTCAGATAATTTGATGCCATACGCAGATAAGAGCTTCAGCATACAACACATGCTTTTTTGAGGGGGAGGATAGAGGGATTGAATGAGTGGGGGCAATAGCTGACAGGTGTGCAGGGTTTGGAATACATGGCCTTTATGGTAAGTGCATGGGGCACATGGGAATACAAAAAAGCAGCCCAGAAACAACAATGGACACTGTGGTTCCTAAGGGCCCATGAAAACATGAAGCTGGCACTGAGCTCTTGCGAACAGTTTGACTGCTAACTAAACAATATATTGTTTACTTCATAACTTCCTATCAAATTGGAAAGGTTACACATGAGGTGTTTTTAAAGGGAGAGCTCTTAATTATAATCCACTTGACTGACGATCTAATGTAGTTGATCTTAGCTGACCTAAAAGTAAGTCTTACATCTATTTGCTTGGAGGAAAATGCCATTATAGAACCTTGAAGGAAATACAGTCTGCACTCTGTATCCACAGATTCTTTATCCATGGATTCTGTCATCCACAGTATTTACTTAATCCAACTGATTCTACAGTAATTTGTTTCTTTGCCTGTGGTACTTATGCCCTGCATTTAAAGAATGTCCCTGGGGCAGTGAAATAAAAAAAAAGAATCCTACAGCTGGATAAAAACACAAGGGCCACCAATTCCAACCCCTTGCCATGTAGGAAAATACAAAGCACTCCCAACAGATGTCCATCCAGGCTCTGCTTAAAAATGTTCAAAGAATGGAAGTTCATCACACTACGAGGCAGCATGTTCCACTACCAAACAACTCAGGAAGTTCTTCCTAATGTTTAGGTGGAATCTTTTTTTCCTGCGATTTGAATCCATTGCAGAGCAACAGAAAGCAAGCTTGCCCCTTCCTCAATGAAACATCCTTTCAAATATTCAAACATCACTATCATGTCCCTCAGCTAAACATACCCAGCTCCCAAAGCTGCTCATCACAAGGCTTGGCTTCTAGATCTTTTACCATTCAGGTTGCCTTCCTTTGAACAGCTTCTCGAATTGAAATACCCAGAGCTGTACACAGTACTCAAGGTGTATGGGCGGACAAATGTCAGGTGTACAGGAAGACAGGGGGACAAATGTCAGTATGCTGGAAGAAGCAAAGACCACCAGCATTGAAGCAATGCTCCTTCATCATCAACTCTGCTAGACTGGCCATGTTGTCCGAATGCCCGATCACTGTCTCCCAAAGCAGTTACTCTGTTCCGAATTCAAGAATGGGAAATGGAATGTTGGTGGACAGGAAAAGAGATTTAAAGATGGGCTTAAAGCCAACCTCAAAAACTGTGGCATAGACACCGAGAACTGGGAAGGCCTGGCTCTTGAGTGCTCTAACTGGAGGTGACCAGCAGTGCTGTAGAATTTGAAGAGGCACGAATGGAGGGTGAAAGGGAGAAACGTGCCAAGAGGAAGGCACAACAAGCCAACCCTGACCGGGACCGCCTTCCATCTGGAAACCAATGCCCTCACTGCGGGAGAACATGCAGATCAAGAATAGGGCTCCACAGCCACCTATGGATCCACCGCCAAGACACCACATCTGAAAGGCAATCATCCTCGAGCTACGAGGGATCGCCTAAGTAAGTAAGTAAGTACTCCAGGTGTGGTCTATCCAACACAGAATAGAGGGGTGCTATTATTTAACTCAATCTAGAGTGACACTATACTCCTTTTGACTCAGGCTAGAATCACATTGGCTTTTTTAGCTGCTGCATCACACTGTTGACTCAATATAGTTACATTACATGATCCTGACAGATGAGATCAGTAGGGTTTACCATTCTCTGGTGCTGGAGGTAATGCCTAAAGAAGGCTAGAAAAAAGTCCCCTCATTACACACCAACACAGATTATATCAGTGATAAATTCACAGGGTTTAACATTTTCTGGTCATGGAGTTGATGCCTAAAGAAGGCTAGAAGGTATCCCTAAACAACATGCCTATAGCAGATGAAATAGGTGATAAATTCACAAGATTAAACAGATTTCCAGTTCTGGGCATTAATGCTGAAAGTGGGGTAGACAAAACTGCCATAATCCCACACCTACAGCAGATAATATCAGTGAAAAATTCACTGGATTTACCATTGTCTAGTCCTGAAGTTAATGCCTAAAGTGGACTGGAAACCACAGATTTGCTGTGCTCTGGTCCTGGAGTTAATGCTTAAAGAGGGTTAGAAAGGATCTCGTCACCGCACACCTAGAGAAGGTATTAGTAATAAATCCACCGGACTTACTATTCCCTGGTCTTGGAATTAATGTGTAAAATAGAGTGGAAATTGCAGGATTTGCCAATCTCTGGCCCTGGAGCTAATGCCTAAAGACGGCTAGAAAGAACCCCCTCACTGCACACCTACAGCTGATGATTAGTGATAAACTTGCATGATTTCCCATTCTCTGGTCTAAAGAGAGCTGGAAATAATCCCCTCATCACACACCCACAACAGATGTTATCAGTGAGAAATTCACAGGATTTCCCAGGGCCCTTCCACACAGCCATATAACCCAGAATATCAAGGCAGATAATCCCCGGTGGCGCAGTGGGTTAAACTGCTGAGCTGCTGAGCTTGTTGACTGAAAGGTCGCAGGTTCGAATCCAGGGAGTGGCGTGAGCTTCCGCTGTCAGCCCGAGCTTCTGCCAACCTAGCAGTTCGAAAACATGTGAATGTGAGTAGATCAATAGGTACAGCTCTGGCGGGAAGGTAATGGCGCTCCTTGCGGTCATGCTGGCCACATGACCTTGGAGGTGTCTACGGACAACGCGGGCTCTTTGGCTTAGAAATAGAGATGAGTACCACACCCCAGAGTCAGACACAACTAGACTTCATGTCAGGGGAAAATCTTTACCTTTACCCTAATCCACAATATCTGCTTTGAACTGGGTTATCTGAGTTGTTGTTAGTTTTCTGGGCTGTATTGCTATTGCCATTCTCTCCTGACGTTTCGCCTGCATCTATGACAGGCATCCTCAGAGGTTGTGAGGTTTGTTGGAAACTAGGAAAATTGGGTTTATCTATCTGTGAAAGGTCCAGGGTGGGAGAAAGATCTTTTGTCTGTTGGAGCTAGGTGTGAATGTTTCAACTGGCCACCTTGATCATCATGGCCTGACAGTTTTAAGGGGGAATCCTTTGTTGAGAGGTGATTAGCTGGCCCTGATTGTTTCTTTTCTGGAGTTCCCGTGTTTGAGTGTTGTTCTTTATTTACAGTTATAATTTTAGAGGGTTTTTAAAATACTGGTAGCCAGATTTTGTTCATTTTGTTCATTGGATTATCTGAGTCCACACTGCCATATGATCTAGTTCCATGTGGATGCTACACAGCTGTGTGGAAGGGGCCCCATTCTCTGGTCCATCGAATTGATGCCTAAAATGAAGTAGAATGAATCTCCTCACTGCACACCTACACCTATACCAGTGACAAATTCACAGGATTTGCCATTCTCTGGTCTTGGAATTAATGCCTAAAGTGGGCTGGAAATCACAGGAATTGCCATTCTGTGGTTTTGGAATTAATGCCTAAAGCAGACTGGAAATAAAAAGATTTGCCATTCTCTGACCCTCTCACCACACACCTACAGTGGATGGTATTAGTGATACAGTTGCAGGATGATTGTTGCACTTTCCTTGCGCTCCCTTCAGGATGTATTGCCCTCATTGAGCCTGAACCTCAGCTATGTTCTTTTTCTCAGCCATATTGTTTTGATGTAATTTACAACTGTGATTGTTTTTTATATTTTATCTGATGTTTTTAATTGTTTGTGTTTTATTTGTAATTTTTGGGCTTGTCCCTTGTAAGCTGCCCTGAGTCCCCTTGGGGAGATGGTTGGCGGGGTATAAAAATAAAGCTGTTGTTGTTGTTGTTGTTGTTGTTCTTATTTGAAACACAACAAGACGAGTCCACAGCAGACACTCTGCTGGCTGTTGTTTTGGCTCACACGTCGGACACTTCCCAAGTGTCTAGGACTGTGTGGTGTATCAGTGAATAATGCGTGCAGATCCCAGTAAGGTGGCCTTTTGCAGCTGGCAGATGGTAATTTTGTCAGTGCCGATTGTGTTTAAGTACAGGCCAAGGTCTTTAGGCACTACACTGCCAATCACCACTGGGACCACCTTTACTGGCTTGTGTCAGGTCCGAGTATGATGGTCCTCCAAGATTAAAGTTGTTGTTGTTGTTGTTGTTGTTATTCTCTGCTCCTGGAATTACTGCCTAAAGCAGACTAGAAATGGGAAGATTTCCCATTCTTGGCCTCCCACACACCTACAGCAGATGATATTAGTGATACAGTTGCAGGGTTTCCCATTCCCTGTTATTACTGCTTAAAGCAGACTGTAAATAAGATTTCCCATTCTCTGACCCCCTCAATACACACCTACAGCAGATGATATTAGTGATAAGTTGCAGGATTTTCCATTCTCTGCTCCTGGAGTTAGATAGTGCCTAAAGCAGACTGGAAATAGGAAGATTTCCCATTCTTGGACCCCTCACCACACACCTACAGCAGATGATATTAGCAATACAGTTGCAGGATTTCCCATTCCCTGCTCCTGGAATTACCGCTTAAAGCAGACTGTAAATAAGAAGATTTCCCATTCTCTGGCCCCCTCACTACACACCTACAGCAGATGATATTAGTGATAAGATTACAGGATTTCCCATTCCCTGCTCCTGGAATTACTGCCTAAAGAGGGCTAGAAAGAACCCCCTCCACACCGCCCTATATCCTAGAATATCAAGGGGAAAATCCCACATTAGCTGAGTGTGGACTCAGATAACCCAGTTCAAAGCCGATATTGTGGGATTTCCTGCCTTGATATCCTGGGATATAGGGCTGTGTGGAAGGGCCCTTAGGCCCCGCTACAGCTGAGGGTTACTGGTGGCGGAGTGTCGGGCTTGGGGCGGGACCCCGCTCGCTTACCCCGTTGGCGGCGGCCATCTGCACGACGGCCTCGATGGCGGCCTTGCTGAAGTACCTCCCGTCGCTGCCCACCACCAAGGTGCAGCCCTGGCGGTCGCGGAGGTCGACGGAGGAGAGCAGGCTCTGGATGAAGTTGGGCAGGTAGTTGCGCTGCCCCTCGAAGAGCGCCGTGGGCCGGCGCAGCCCCCCGCCGCCCGTGGGGCGCTGGTCCTCGAAGGGCGCCGTGGGCACCGTCAGCACCGGGATGGGGCTGCCCTCCATGACGCCCCCACGGGGCCCCAGCCCGAGCCCTCCGGGGCAGAAAGAAAGGGCCGAGGAGGGCGCGAGGGATGCTCTTCTCCCGGCTCTCCTGCCTGCCTTCCTCGGGAAGCCCGAGGGGGCGGCTCGTGGGCCTCCCCGCCTCTCCCGCGGGGCCCTCCCAGGCCGGCCCTCTTGCCAAGAAGGACGCCAGTGGGGCCCGCCGAGCCCTCCTCCTCCTCCTCCTCCTCCTCCTCCTCTTCGCCCTGAGCCAAGAATAACTCTTGCAAAGACCCGCTGCCAGGGAGGGGTCACCAGGGGCTGAGCCAGGGGAAGGAGGGAAGGAAGGAAGGAAGGAAGGAAGGAAGGAGGGGGGCCTCCCTCCCGCTCCTCCCCTCCCCCCTCCCTGCTGCGAAACACATTTGTTCCAAGGGATCACAGGCTGGCTGCCTGGCTAGCTGGCTGGTGTCAGCCCTTCGCCCGGCTTGTCCGTTTTGGACAAAGCCGGCCACAGCTCTACAAGTCGGCTTTGGGTGTGCTGTGCTGATGGAAGGGACCTCTGGGTAAAGAAGGAAGGAAGGGGAAGAGAGGAAAGACAGACAAGGGAAAGGAAGGAGAAGAAGGCGCAGAGAAGAAAGACAGACAAGGGAAACGAAGGGGAGGGGAAGGAAGGAGAAGGAAGGAAGGAAGGAAGGAAGGGGAAGGGAAGGAAGAAATAGGGAAGGAAGGAAACCTTCGTCCGGCTTGTCTGTTTTGCAGACTCTTGCATAGTGTTATAAGTCGGCTTTGGATGTGCTTTGCTGGAAGGGACCTTTGGATAAAGAAGGAAGGATGGGGACGAGAGGAGAGACAGACAAGGGAAAGGAAGGAGAAGAGGGAAAAGGCGCAAGGAAGAAAGAAGGAAGAAGGGAAGAAAGGAAGACAGACAAGGGAAAGGAAGGAGAAAGAAAGGCAAACAGAGAAGGGGACGGAAGCGGAAGGGAAAGAAGAAGGAAAGACAGGCAGACACAACGGAAAGGAAGGAGAAGGAAGGAGAAGGGAAGAAAAGTAAGTCAGACAAGGGAAAGGAAGGAGAAGGGAAGGCAGACAGACCAGAGGAAAGAAGGGGAAGAGAAGGAAGAAGAAGAGAAGAAAGGAAGACAGACAAGGGAAAGGAAGGAGACGGGAAGGAAGGGGAAGAGAAGGAAAAAAGAGGAAGGGGAAAAAAAAAGGAAGGATGGAAAGGAATATAATGCCGTTCGTTGCAAATTAGTCCATTTCACGGATCGGGTAAAATGTATACTACTTTTAAAAATTGCTTCTACTGACCTGAGGTACAATACAGGCAGTCCTCAAGTTACAAACATCCGATTTACAAAAGACTCCTAGTTAAGAACAGGGGTAAAACAACAGGAAGTGAGAGAAATCTACCCCTAGGAAGGGAAATTCACTCCTGAAAGAGCTATCATGGGGCAAAGGGGTCTCCACTGGAGCTTTCTGCCAATCCTTGTTTCCACAGCAAGCTTTTTTTTTCTTTTCAAAATCCAATTCTCACAGGGATAGAATGTGAAGTGATATCTTCTGAACAGGGGCACAGACAACAAAACAAATAGTTTGAAACGCATATAAAGCAGTTCAATGCAACCCCCATCTGCACTGCCATATAATCCAGTTTCTGTATCCAGATTATCTGCTTTGAACTGGATTATATGGCATGTATACTCAAAAAAAATTAGAATAAATTTATTTAAAAAAATTTTATTTTCTTTTTATTTTTTTTTTAATTCTGCCAAGTTTTCAGTAATTGACTAATTTAAACATGTTTCTTTTCCACAACTGTTATATCTGTTGTTGTTGTTCATTCGTTCATTCGTCTCCGACTCTTCGTGACCTCATGGACCAGCCCACGCCAGAGCTCCCTGTCGGCCGTCACCACCCCCAGCTCCCTCAAGGTCAGTCCAGTCACTTCAAGGATGCCATCCATCCATCTTGCCCTTGGTCGGCCCCTCTTCCTTTTGCCTTCCACTTTCCCCAGCATAATTGTCTTCTCTAGGCTTTCCTGTCTCCTCATGATGTGGCCAAAGTACTTCAACTTTGTCTCTAGTATCTTTCCCTCCAGTGAGCAGTCGGGCTTTATTTCCTGGAGGATGGACTGGTTGGATCTTCTCGCAGTCCAAGGCACTCTCAACACTTTCCTCCAACACCACAGCTCAAAAGCATCGATCTTCCTTCGCTCAGCCTTCCCTAAGGTCCAGCTCTCACATCCGTAGGTTACTACAGGGAATACCATGGCTTTGACTAGGCGGATCTTTGTTGCCAGTCTGATGTCTCTACTCTTCACTATTTTATCGAGACTGGACATTGCTCTCCTCCCAAGAAGTAAGCGTCTTCTGATTTCCTGGCTACAGTCTGCATCTGCAGTAATCTTTGCCCCTAGAAATACAAAGTCTGTCACGGCCTCCACGGTTTCTCCTTCTATTTTCCAGTTGTCAATCATTCTTGTTGCCATAATCTTGGTTTTTTTGACGTTTAGCTGCAACCCGGCTTTTGGGCTTTCTTCTTTCACCTTGATTAGAAGGCTCCTCAGCTCCTCCTCGCTTTCGGCCATCAGAGTGGTGTCATCTGCATATCTGAGGTTGTTAATGTTTCTTCCAGCAATTTTCACCCCAGCTTTGCATTCATCCAGCCCTGCACATCGCATGATGTGTTCTGCATACAAGTTAAAAAGGTTGGGTGAGAGTATGCAGCCTTGCCGTACACCTTTCCCAATCTTGAACCAGTCTGTTGTTCCGTGGTCAGTTCTGACTGTTGCTACTTGGTCCTTGTACAGATTCCTCAGGAGAGAGACAAGGTGGCTTGGGATGCCCATCCCACTAAGAACTTGCCACAATTTATTATGATCCACACAGTCAAAGGCTTTAGAATAGTCAATGAAGCAGAAGTAGATGTTTTTCTGAAACTCCCTGCCTTTCTCCATTATCCAGCGGATATTGGCAATTTGGTCTCTCGTTCCTCTACCTTTTCTAAACCCAGCTTGAACATCTGGCAACTCTCGCTCCAAGTATTGCTGGAGTCTTCCTTGCAGGATCTTGAGCATTACCTTACTGGCATGTGAAATAAGTGCCACTGTACGAAAGTTTGAGCATTCTTCAGTGTTTCCCTTTTTTGGTATGGGGATATAAGTTGATTTTTTCCAGTCTGATGGCCATTCTTGTGTTTTCCATATTTGCTGGCATATGGCATGCATCACCTTGACAGCATCATCTTTTAAGATTTTAAACAGTTCAGCTGGGATCCCGTTGTCTCCTGCTGCCTTGTTGTTAGCAATGCTTCTTAAGGCCCATTCAACCTCACTCCTCAGGATGTCTGGTTCTAATTCATTCACCACACCGTCATAAACTATCCTCAATATTATTATCCTTTCTATACAGATCTTCTGTATAGTCTCGCCACCTTCTCTTGATCTCTTCAGCTTCTGTTAGGTCCCTGCCATCTTTGTTTCTTATCATACCAATTTTTGCCTGAAATTTACCTCCAATGTTTCTGATTTTCTGGAAGAGGTCTCTTGTCCTTCCTATTCTGTTGTCTTCCTCCACTTCCATGCATTGCTTATTTAAAAATAGTTCCTTATCTCTTCTGGCTAACCTCTGGAATTGCGCATTTAACTGGGCATATCTCCCCTTTTCACTGTTTCCTTTTGCTTTCCTCCTTTCTTGGGCTACTTCCAGTGTCTCAGCAGACAACCATTTTGCCTTCTTGGTTTTCTTTTTCTTTGGAACGTACTTTGTTGCCGCCTCCTGAACAATGTCGCGGACTTCTGTCCATAGTTCTTCTGTGACTCTGTTTACTAAATCTAGTCCTTCAAATCTGTTCTTCACTTCCACTGTATATTCGCTAGGAATGTTAGTGAGATCATATCTAACTGGTCTGTGTATTTTCCCTGATCTCTTTAGTTTTATTCTGAATTGAGCATAAGAAGTTCGTGATCTGAGCTACAGTCAGCCCCAGGTCTTGTTTTCACCGACTGGATGGATGTCCGCCACCTTTGGCTGCAAAGGATGTAGTCAATCTGATTTCGGTGTTGACCATCTGGTGAGGTCCATGTATAAAGCCGTCTTTTAGGTTGTTGGAAGAGAGTATTCGTTATACACAGCGAGTTTTCCTGGCAAAATTCTATTAGCCTGCGTCCCGCTTCATTTTGTTCTCCCAGACCATGCTTGCCTGTGATCCCAGTTGTCATTTGACTTCCCACCTTGGCATTCCAGTCTCCTGTAATGAAAATAATGTCTCTTTTTGGTGTATTATCCAGTAGGTCCTGCAGATCCTCATAGAACTGATCTACTTCTGCTTCTTCAGCAGCTGTGGTTGGGGCATATATTTTGATCACTGTAATGTTGAAAGGCTTTCCTTGCACTCGAATTGAGATCATTCTGTCATTTTTTGGGTTGTATCCAAGCACCGCTTTAGCGAATTTCTTATTAATTATGAAGGCTACTCCATTTCTTCGATGTTCCTCTTGTCCGCAGTAGTAGATCTGGTGGTCATCTGATGTGAAGTGGCCCATTCCAGTCCATTTCAGTTCGCTGACCCCCAAAATGTCTATCTTTAGTCTTGACATCTCACCAATAACAACATCCAATTTGCCCTGGCTCATAGATCTTACATTCCAGGTTCCTATGGTGTGTTGATCTTTAGAGCATCGGATTCGTCGTTCACCTCCAGTACCGTCGGCCGCTATCCTTCCTTTCGGCTTTGAGCTAGCTGCGTCATCACATCTGGGGCTAGTTGAACTTATCCTCTGCTCCTCCCCAGTAGCATTTTGGCCATCTTCCGACCTGGGAGTCCCATCTTCCAATGGCATACCGACATATCTCTGGTTGTACTGGTCCATTTAGTTTTCTTGGCAAGGATACTGGAGTGGTTTGCCATTGCCTTCCCCAGGGATCACTCTTGGTCTGACCTCTCTGCCACAACCGTCCCGTCTTGGGTGTCCCTTCACGGTTTCGCTCATGACATCATTGAGGTGCTCAAGCTCCAGCGCCCCGACAAGGCGGTGATCCTTTGCTGGAGTATGGCAGTGTAGACTCATATATTCTAGTTCAAAGCAGATAATCTAGATTTAGAAACTGGATTATATGGCAGTGCGGATTCAGATGCATTTATATGGCAGTGTAGATGGGTCCCAGGGTTGAGATCCCTGCTCAGACATGATAATCCATTGGGTGACCTTGGGGGAGGCACCGGCCCCATCTACTCT